AGCACAGTAAAGATGTCTATAGTGGTATTAGCAAACTGGTCTGTGACTGGGAAAGTCTTGAGACGTACTATACAGGCAGACAGACGTACCTTTGCTAGCGTTTTCCACGTGCTCCAGTTCATCTGGAAACCTCAAAATTTCAGAGTAGCTCTCTTCACACTTCTCAGCCAGGAAATGAAGAAGTGTTGTATTCTGACTGACAGATTTAGTGTCTCGGAGCTGAAAAAGATAGAAAAAAGATTCACAGATGTTTAGAGTCATTTACTTGAGGAAAACAATGTCCCTTCATTTTCTCAATGAAGGTACATGTTGTCAAACCAAAGGGTTTCTTTTTTAATCCTCAATACCAGGCGCTCTTTTCACTTAAAATCAGTGACTGTTATACGTTTTTAAGCATGGTCTTTTCCCTCATTCAGGTCTGGAACATCTGCCTGCTTCCTTAAATAATCACGTGAATTTTAATTAAAATTGAGTCGATGTAGGCAAGCTTTGAAAAGAGGAAAGTGTTTTTCATCACAACATTTTGGCAGAAGACTATGATAGGAATGGCCCTTTTACTTAAAAGCAGTTTTTATGTGTTCCTGTTAATATACACAAAGCATTGGCTGTCATGGTAATAATAATGCAACTAGTAAGATGTGCTCTAGAGAAAGAGAGTGGAAGCATGGCTAAATTAGATATAATATTATTTGCTAAAACAATAGATTTCGTGGGATCAACGTATTGTATCTCTACATTATATTTTATTGTCCACAGCCACACTGACAATGTTAAACATAATTGTTTACTCAGAAACACAAGAGGGATTTCTCTGGGGGCTGTTGCTGTACATTCAACAAAATTAGTTCCTAACAAGCCAAAAGCCCAAATTCTGGAGAACTCCAACTCACACTGATTACAATACATAGTGAGAAGGTAAAATAAATGAGAGCCCCCAAAATGTGCAACCAATTACTGAAGACTAAACCGAAACAGATAATAATACACATATGCATGTACAGTATATACACAAATAATAACCCCACTCCCCTGAGAATAAACGGAGCAGGAAAGTTTGAACAAAAGTAATGTACTGTATTTGCCAAGTGTGTGTGAGTCTGTTCATAAGCGGAAGCTCGGATTCTTCACATCAGTGCATAGACAACTTGTTCCATATTCATTGCCCACTGTGATTGCTATGCTGTTTGAATGGCATGCTGGGAAAGCTAATTAGCACAGCCCACCTCAGTGTACTCATACTGATAATATGCATCCTGTAAACAGCCTGCAGCTGGACATGCCCACACATGTACGCGTGGAAACACGTGTGCTCATGCGCACACATTTAGGGAAAGGAACAGGCAAAGAGACGCTGTCACACATCAGCTCAAAAACACACACGCTGTTGTCATTAGAAGAGGATCAATCATCGTTTCGCTAATCACAACTGAATTTCATGGCATTTTAATTGGTTTATTGTCAAACTGTTATTACTGCGCAGAGAAGAGAAACTTCTAAGATTAGTAATATGTAATATGAGACATT